ATATGTGGATAGTACCCAGGCAGCCTGAATAGGTGTACTATATGTGGTAAACATTGCAATAGATGGTATTTAGGAGAAATGCTGTGGCTTCACTCTTCAGGTCCTGGAATCAGTGGTGAAGAACTGCGGGCAGACGGTGCATGATGAGGTTGCAAGTAAACAAACGATGGAGGAATTGAAGGAACTACTTAAGGTAATGTATTTATTCACTTATTAAACATTTTACTTCATCTCTCTTTTAAATATATCTTTCTAAGTGACTTAATGTTCAGATTATTGGAGTTTCAATTGACAGGAAATACTCTTGTCTTTCATTGTCTGAGATTTTGATGTGTGATTGATGATAAAAATCATAGCACTTACAGTCCAAGTAAGCGAGTGAGTGCTTGTGTGAATTGTTGGATGAGAAATGTGTGTGAAAAAGTTGGTTGAGCCTAGAATTTTCCCATTATGTGGATTTTTTTAATCAGGAAAGACCTAAACTTTGTGTTAAATTTATAGTTGCAGTATGTTAAGCTGACTGATTAATGTTGCTCTGAAGTAGCTGAAACTTATCAAATAATATAACTTGAACTAAAAATCAAGCTTATTTCAGTGCAACTTTACTTTGGATCTTTGCTTTTTGCATATCTATAACCTGCAAACCTGTTAAAGTATAAAAATATTAGTGTAGTTTCACATAATAAACTCAGACAGTTTGAGTTGTCTGACTGTGTTCTGACTTCGTCTCGTGACATTCCCCGCCTTTTTTCTGACTCAATCGCTGCTCATCACTCTCTGGCAGCTGGACGGTCTGGTAGCAGATTCTAGCTGTATGTGATTGGATCCTCGAGGTACCATGTGACACTGGCTCTGCAGCCTATGCTGGTAGCAACTTCCTGGTGATGTCATAGTCTTGTGACAGGAGTGTTTTCACTCTACACAAACACGAGGAACTTCCCACCTCACTTCTTGTACAATGTTCTAACGATGGTGAAAACATAAAAAACAGGAAGGGTTAGAGCTCTAAGTGTTGTGTGTTTTGTGTCTTACCGTAACTTCCAGAAGCAGACCGAGCCAAATGTCAGAAACAAGATCTTGTACCTGATTCAGGCCTGGGCTCACGCCTTCCGCAATGAACCTAAATACAAGGTGGTCCAAGACACGTATCAGATCATGAAGGTGGAAGGTAAGCATGTGCTAGCACTGTTTGTTTTATACTTGTGGTTACTCTCACTTGAAAGACATTCCAAGAAGACTTTTTAAATGAAATTACATAGCATTTACTGTTAATCCTTTGCTATATATTACAATGCTAAACACGTATCTTTTATTTCTCTCAATAGGTCATGTATTCCCCGAGTTTAAGGAGAGTGATGCCATGTTTGCAGCAGAGAGAGTGAGAGATATGTCCTTGTTTTTCCTGTTTATTGCACGTTACTTGTTTTGTATAGTGCATTAGCTTTGTAGTTATTTTTACTGAACAGAAGAGACGCATAGTGAACTCCTGTGGGTTTGTTGTGTCACCATATTATGTGACGTCTGCTTCATGCAGGCCCCAGATTGGGTTGATGCAGAGGATTGCCACAGGTGCAGAGTTCAGTTTGGAGTTATGACAAGAAAGGTAGGCTGGTCTTTATACGAAGTAGGGCACTCGGAGACTTTATGGTTTTCTTTGTTCAGTGAAAGCAGTTTGTGTGAAGTGTATGTTGATCTTTATTGTGCTTTTACAGCACCATTGTCGAGCTTGCGGACAAATCTTCTGTGGGAAGTGCTCATCTAAATACTCGACCATTCCCAAGTTTGGCATTGAGAAGGAAGTGCGTGTGTGTGAGCCCTGCTTTGAGCAGCTAAACAAGTGAGTCTCATGATAATTGATTGTTATGGAAAATATTTGTTGGTGTGTAAACCCTGGTGACTTTAATTGTGACCCCACATGACCTTAAATGTTTTAGGCACGTGCGGAGACAAATACTTTGTCGGCTTAAACTGCGACTGATTAGATTCTTCTCCACAAAGAGAGCTTTGATCTAAAACACAAGTTATGCATAATGGGCAAATTTTTCTTTCTGGTTTCACAACATTGTCATAGTTGTGTGTTTCTCTGTTTTTCAATAAATAAGCAGCAACATTTCTGAGCTACTGTTTATGGTTTCCCCTTTAAATTAGTCTCGTTCTCATTTCTCCGACACTGAACAGAATCGAACATTATTGTAATGTATTGGAAAAAAATTTGCTTTTTGTTTAGTGATCAGCTTTAAATAACATAATTTACTCATTTTAGCCTTTTGTGTAATACCAAATTTAATTTTTTTATTTATTTGATTTTGTCTTATTTGTTGTTTTCCTCAATATTATAATAGTAATATAAGCTGTTTTATGCTCTCTTCCAAGAGTTTTGTCACCCAGCGGTGTTGATTTTTAATTATATCTGTTATTAAAAATAAAATTAAAGTTGGGTGAAGATTCTAAGAGCAGGGATGTAATGTTGATATTATCCAAAGTTGATCCAGTCCAGCTGACCCAGAAAATAACTGCTTGTACTTGGATCCTGCCTGTAGATGGCGTTCAACACACAAATGTAAATGATGACAACTTATTTGTTCTGTTGTGCACCATTAAACACACACTCATTACTCAACACACACTCATTACTCAACATTCCCAGAATTGTGTTTTTAGGTGTGTGTTGAGATGCACACCTAAAGGTAAGTTATTAACTTGTGAACGTTTCCTGGTAACTTTCTTTTTGGTGGTTGTTTCTGGGGAGTTACTTGAGTTTGAGCACAACCCTCCCATCTGATTCACGAGGTTGTTTGTCCTCCCTGATCCCTCTCCTTACCAGCCACCCCTCCCTCTCTCCTCAACTTAGGAAAACTGAGGGGAAAGTTGCTCCTCCAGGCTCCACTGAACTGCCACCCGAGTACCTGACCAGCCCGCTGTCCCAGCAGTCACAGGTAATTATTTTCACAAGCACGTTGGGAATCAGGGTGATTTTTATTTTTCTTAATTGTCTTTTACATTTTTAGAGTTTTTAACTCTTCTTCTTTGCTTTATCCATCTTCCTACCTGCTCTCGTATCTTAACACATATTTTTGATGACCAGATGCCCCCTAAGAGAGATGAGACAGCTTTGCAGGAGGAGGAGGAGCTGCAGCTGGCCATCGCTCTGTCCCAAAGTGAGGCAGAGGAGAAGGAGCGAATGGTTAGTTGTACAACAGAAATTTTAATGCGTTTTTACATCAGTTTGTAAATAATACTTAAAAAAATGCTGCGTTTTCTTCCAGAGACATAAGAACTCTTACTCAGTGTATCCCAAAGCTGATCCCACCCCAGTGACTTCTTCAGCACCACCTGTCAGCACCCTTTACACTGCCCCTGTGGTGAGACTAAGTTTATCTTTCACACTTCCAGGCTACCAGATTTATTTTGATCAAATAGTTTTATTTTATCAGAGTATCAGAAGTTTTGAAATGAATCATTCTGAAACATTTATGCTGTACAGAACTCCTCTGCTCCATCTGCTGAAGACGTTGACCCTGAGGTACTTTTATTCTTATTTTTTAGTATTTATATTATCAATAGAAAAGTTAGGTTTATTAATCACAAGGCTATGTTGTGTAATTCCAGCTGGCCCGCTACCTGAACAGAACGTATTGGGAGAAGAAGCAAGAAGAGGCTCGAAAGAGTCCCACCCCCTCAGCTCCAGCCCCCGTCTCATTGGCTGAACCTCTCCCATCAATCAGCCAACCGGTCGAAAGTCATGTCCCAGTTCAACCTGTCAGCATAGTGGAGGTGTGTTAAAACTTTTTATAGCTAGGAGAATTTTTTTGTTTTGTCGGCTGAGATGAAGTGAGCCCAAACTCTCTGCTCACATGTTCTCGGTCATCTCTACTTTTAGCAGCAGTACCAGAACGGTGAGTCCGAGGAGAACCACGAGCAGTTCCTCAAGGCTTTGCAGAATGCTGTCACCACCTTTCTCAACCGCATGAAGAGCAATCACATGCGTGGGCGCAGCATCACCAACGACAGCGCGGTGCTCTCGCTTTTCCAGTCCATCAACAACATGCATCCACAGCTGCTGGAAATCCTCAACCAGCTGGACGAAAAGCGATGTGAGTCTCAGCTTGGTTCATTTTGTGTACACCCAGACCCATCTGCCTTATGTCGTTACTCAACCACGGCATTCTGGGTCTTGTCAGTGTACTACGAGGGTCTTCAGGACAAGTTGGCTCAGGTGCGTGATGCTCGAGCTGCCCTCAATGCGCTTCGAGACGAGCACAGAGAGAAGCTGCGCAGAGCTGCAGAGGAGGCAGAGAGACAGAGGCAGATCCAGCTGGCACAAAAACTGGAGATCATGAGGCAGAAGAAGCAGGTAATCAAGTTTTGTTCTCTAGTAAGAATAGACGAGTTGCAGTTTTTTATGACAATGCCTACAAGTGAACATTTGAACTTCAGGAGTACCTGGAGATGCAAAGGCAGCTGGCCATTCAGCGCCTGCAGGAGCAGGAGAAGGAGAGGCAGATGCGTTTGGAGCAGCAGAAGCACACCATCCAAATGAGAGCGCAGATGCCTGCTTTCCCTTTGCCCTACGCGCAGGTACGTGCTGCATCAGACACAATTCACTCTCTAAAGCACAACTGGATTACATTATTGAATACCTTGTTGATACTTACTCATTAATAAATATGCTGCTATACAGATGCAGTCTTTGCCTCCCAATGTTGCTGGAGGGGTGGTATACCAGCCTGGTGCTCCACCCAGCTACCCAGGAACTTTCAGTCCTGCTGGTTCTGTGGAGGGTTCTCCTATGCACAACATGTACATGAATCAGCCTGGGCAGACTGCACCAGGGCCGTACCAGGCCATGCCCAGCGCTGCCACAGGTGAGAAGGTCAACAAAGTCGGATCAGTGGTTGAAATACTTTTTGATAGCGTCAGATCGGGAGAAGTTTGTTGTCTTTGTTGTTTATGAAGACTTGGGCACCGACTAATATGACTTGTCTGGCTTATTAGACAGACATTGGTTGTGAATATCTGATGTTTAGAAATGTTGTTCTTTGGCCCCCGTTATATATTATCTTTGAGTTCAATATACAACATATTTGAAGGAATGAGAAATTAAAACATTTTAATGTCCAAATGTCTGATTGATTGAGATCTCTAATAACTGTGTGTGTGTGTGTGTGTGTGCGCGCGTGCCACACATCCTCTGTTTTTTTTGTCAGATCCCAACATGGTTAATACATACATGTATCAGGCTGCAGGTGCCAATGGACAACCTCCTCCAGGACAGGCCCCACCCACTACTAGTCCCCCCTACTCCAACTATCAGCCCACACCCACACAGGCGTACCAGGTCTGGCTGACACCCCACTCCACCCCCACCATCTGGTTTCTCTGACTTTTACATAAACTTTCACCAGACTATTTACAATCGTCCCACTAATGGTTCTGTTTGTGTTCTGTGCAGAATGTGGCTTCTCAGGCTCAAAGTTTGCCCCCTATGTCACAGGCTGCTCCCACCAATGGTATGGCCTACATGAGTTACCAACCTTACACCATGCAGAACATGATTTCAGCGTTGCCAGGACAGGATCCCAATATGCCCCCCCAACAGCCCTACATGCCAGGCCAGCCGCCCATGTACCAGCAGGTCAGTCATGGGTTATTTACACATTTTTCTTTACCAGATGTTCTCCAACTGTGGTAAAACGCATACGGATTTATCCACTATACGTACACTCAATAACTTCTCAATAACTGTTAGAGTTTGAGGCTAATGGCTCAGAGTAGCAGGCCGGCGGTTCTGTGGAGGTTCTGTGCACTCAAAATGTTTGTGGGCGCAGACTCTTTAAACACCAATGACTGATGAAAATGTCTTGCCAGCATCACAGCCGTGGAAAGAGTTATGACGTCATAATCTGCAGCAGCTGTCAATCAATTTTTTACAGCGAGATAATCTACATTTTCAAGGATCTAATGAAGAATTGTTTCACAATGAATTTATCTTTATTTATCTTGCAGCAGTCCCAGCTGAATGCATGCAGCTCGAAAATTTCACTTTGTTTTCTGTAGTCGTGAAATCTGATCGACATCAAAAGCATCATATTGTGTAAATTTTAATAAGACAGATTTAACCCTTTGACTTTAAGACTATTCGTGTTCCTCAGGAGGAAAATCAACTACATTTTTAAATGATTAAAAATGCTATTTTCAAACATTTGTTCCACATAAAACTAATCCATCTTTTAGAGCTGTCCCAGCCTGAATAAAAATATCTAATTTAAATATTTTTTATTTTAACGCTTTAAGTTTTTTTTTTAACTCTACAGTTTTTTTTTTTAATTGACAAAATATTTAATTTGCAGTAATTTAAAACAAAAAGGATGTTTTCCTCCCATTAGTTCACCCTCTGGGTCAACATCCACCACATCAGAACTGATGTTTGGTTCTGCTGGCCCAGTCAGAGAGGTTCTGGACTGTGTCCTCTGCTTAGTCAGACCTCCTAGTGGGGCTTGGTCCTTTCTCCCTCTCGTTCTTCTTCTAAAACAATTCATGATCACTCTCTTCATCAACAAAGTCCTCTCTGTCTGACTCAGACTGTTTTTCTCCTTCATTATCCTCTCCTCTATCTGAGAAGTTCTGACTCCGGTTCCGTCCACCTCTGGGTTCACAGCTCCTCACGGTCAATAGTTGTCTTGTTTTGACTCAAACACACTAAAACTGACTAAACAATAAACACTAAACTACATTCGAACTATAAAACCCAAACACGTTAAATATCACAAATCTCTCAGACATCATGACTCACTCCTGCTCTCACTGACTCTCGTGCTGAACTCCGTTCAACTTCCGCATCTTTTTCTTCTTTTTCATGTAGATATTTTTGGCGCTTGACACATAATTTCGAGCCTCCGTCGTTTATCTGTTCGGCAGGGGTGGGAGGTGAAATTGGAGGGTGATGGCGGTGTTTTGTCCCTGAGACTGCCCACCTTTGCTGCAGCTTCTCGCTCAAACACTTCAGATATGACAATGATTTTCAGAAAAAGATGTGGCGTGGATTATTTATCATAACTCTGTTTTTATTTGCTTTCAACACAATAAAAAATAAACTGATGTGTAGTTTAAAGTCTTTACTTTTGACAAATTAAAACGAGTCTTTGAGAGGCTGTCTTTCCCGCTAGCACAACTGAAATTGGTCATGTGACTATCATGTGCTGGTGCATCGATTGACTCCAAAGGGGAAAAAAAAACATCAGTAGTCGGCATGATCACCACCACGCCTGTTACTGAGAAGGAGTATACTTTTGTGATGGTATCTTTTTACTTTGTAATAGCAACACAAACTAATTTTGAATGTCTCATCCATTCAATCATTGCAATATTCTACTGTATGTACAAATATATATAAACAGTAGAAGAATTGAGATATTTTCATAAAGTGATCATTACATGACTGTAATGCATTTACTGCAACGATAACTTTTAGATTGAAAACTTTTAAAGCTGTTAATGTTTGTTTTTGTGCCAAAACATTTGCCATATTCAAAGTATGTCTCTAGGCGTTTTTTAAGGAAGGAAAAGATGGCACGAGGTTCTCGGTGCTGATGATATCATTTAACCAACCAAGTTTTTGGTGCAAAAGTCAGAAATCTGACACCTTTGCACATTTTCACATGATTAGACAAGTCTAGATGTCCAGTTTCTTTCTTCTGTAGTTGTTCAGCTACTTGGTTTTGTTGTTGAGCCATTTGTAAATGTGTTGATGCTGTGCTGGTGTTCACATGAGTGCAGTGTAGAATAAGGCTGCTGATGGTGGGCTTCTTTTTCCCTTCAGCCTTTTCAGAGTTAAGTTCAAGTTCTGTTTATTTGTCAAATCCAGATTCACACAAGGTTAACAGTACAATGAAATGTTTGGGATGACAATTTACCACCCTCCTCTTGTAAGGATGTGGCTGCTGTGAGCTGAAAGTTTATTGTAGCAGCCTCCAACTCCTGTTCTTACACTTTATTATATTTTAATATCAGTCATTTATAACTTTCCTATTTTTACCTTTTCCTTGCTGTCTAGGCTGCTCCCCCTGGTGGTCCTCAGCAGCAGCAGCAGCCGCAGCAGCCTCAACAGCAGCCGCCTCACATTGTGCAACACAGCAACACGGAGGCACAGCTCATCTCCTTCGACTGAAAGGCCTCAGGCTGCAGTTTTACACACTACACCTTCTCTCCACCTCCAACTTTCCTGGAACCTAAGGATGCCCTTTGGAAACACACACAAAACTCCCACCTTCCACCTCGCTGTGATGTTGTGGCCAAGTGAAATATTGTGATGATGTTGCAGAGCTGTAGCTCTCCTTGCCTCTCTCCTCTGAAGTACGGGAATGAGGGAAATAAAGCTGCTGTGGAGAGCCCCATAACCCAAACCTCTGTCCCTCCTCTTCCATCTTTCAGCCGACGCGTATGTAGTATTTCTTTATTAAACGAATAATTGAAGTGCAGAAAAAGTCCGTGGTAAGAAAATATACAATTTAGGAGATAAAAAAAGACAAAACACCAACATCATTTGTGTCATATTTTTCTAAAGTTGAATTAGCCTGGTGAATACAGGTTATTTTGTGGAATGGAAATGAACTGTTGCGACTCGTTCTGACAGTCTGATTGCTGTGTGCGCTGTGTAAGAGGTTGGGTTTTTAAAAACTAGTGAAAGTGGAATTGGAGAACTCAAAGTGCTCTGACTCAAATGTCCATCAAGCTCACAGCTCATTCCAGGTGGTTTTCCAGTCGTCCCGCTCACGGACTTGGGTCTTCTTGTTTTGACATTTATTTGTTGTGTGCTGCTTGGACTGAGTGTCTTAATGTAGTTTTTCAGATGATAAATCACATTACAGAGGTTGTACACTATAGGTGAAGTGTTCAAAAAATTATGGGATAGCTTTCTAATTCTTATAGAATATAATTTCATGCATTAAAATATTGAAATTCACAACTAGCTACTATAAATAAAAATACTAAAATCAGTCTGGTAATCCTGACAGCAACATGCATCTTTAAAGTGAATTGTGTTGCCAAATAGCATCCAACGTAAGGCTGAAGCAAGCCTTTAAAAGTCTGTAATAACCTTTAATTGCCTTCAGGGGCCAAAACTTGCATTCGTTTGGCTGTAATTGTCACATTTAACAAAACTACATAGAAAGTACACATAAAACTCTTTCTCAAGTGTACTTGACTCTTTAGAAATGTGGAAATGCTGTCAGAGTGAAAACGATGCCCTGCATGTATGTATCACACTTTTACTGATTCTGTAACTTCTTTATTCCATCTTGCTGAACTGTCTGACTTTAAAGTAATTTTAAAATTATATTTAATAAATATCAGGTTCTTATTGTCCACTTGTTTCAATCTTCTTTATTGCACCGTCCATGTCTCCTGTTGATTTTTTTAAATTTAGAATTAACACATGGATAAAAAGAACGACAGGATAAATAATAAATACATCATGAAAGAAAATTAAACAGAAAAAGTCAAAATCAAATCAATCAAAGCTGAATTAATTCCTAAGTTCCTGTAAGTTTTTATTAAGTAATCCAGCTGGAAATGAAGTTTCAATTTTAATACTTCATTAGTTTTATTGTTTTCAATTAATGGGGATGCATTTTATTTTTGACTTTGCGGCAGTGGTTTTCAAACCTTTTTATAAAGAGTACCACCTCAGATAATACTGTGCCTTCCATGTACCACCATTATGAGACATCAAGGAACATTAGCTCAAACTTTCATTCATATTTGAAGTAAATACAGTATTTTTCAGACTATAAGGTGTACTTAAAATCCTTTAAATTTTCTCAAAAATCGACTGTGAGCCTTATAATCCGGAGCGCTTTATGTATTAATTCTGGTTGTGCTTGCTGACCTCGAACAAATTTTCTGTGGTACACGGCGCTCAAAAATCTGTCAAAATGAACTTGTTTCGCTTAATGCGCCTTATAATCCGGTGCACCTTATAGTCCAAAAAATACGGTAATCAAGCTGGATAAACCCTAAAGTCATGCTGTTGTTGAAAGGTGTCGTCCAAGATGCATTCCTTGCTAAGAACGCCACGCACTGAAGTCTTTGCTCTTTTTCTGCCCACATCTGTACACGAATCAAAGTCAAATTTCCTCATCATTTTACACCTATTTTTAATTTTACATCACAGTTCAGTTTACAAATTGGTCATGCCAACATTTTGAGGACTTGTACTTCTCCCACAGCTTTACAGAATACTTATTTCAATGTTTTTCTTGCGTAATGGATCCAGTGACGTGTCCCGCTGTTTACATAAAGGTACATCAGCGGCGGTCTTAAATGAGTAATGCATTTTGTTCTTTTAAAACCTTTACAGTTTCCTGAAGATGAGGCATTTGTAATAATCTTCCATCTCAACCTGAAAGTAAAATGTTAAAGGAATTAAAAATACGTTGACGGTACTGCAGGTGTCACGAGTGTCTTACACCAGCTTACCATCCTTTCCAAACGCAGGCCGTTCCCGTAGGCCTGCTGTCTGAGCACGTCAATATCCGGAAGACCCCACTCTGGATTCCTGTGCAACCACATCAAGCAGTAAACACTTTTTAAACGTGCTACCAACAAAACCAGAACAGGCACACGAGAAACTTTTATCCAGGTGTGTCACAGGGTGGCAAATTGTTCAAAGCTCATGTTTTACATTTATAACAAACAGAACAACAACAGAGTTAACGCTCTGAGATGACTCTAGCTGGGTATTTATTACTAAAATCTGTTGCACGTGTTGTAAATGCTTCTAAAAATTGCCACTCACAGTTTTCGAAGCTCTTCATCCAGATGTTCATTACAGCTTGGTGTAATGATGCCATTAACCGCGAACAACTGGAAAAGATTTCCACGTGTTCGCTTAGAAATTTGCCATTATAGTTTGTACTTCACACGAGGTGATATAAAACTAGTTATTACCAGTACATACCCCGTGTGTTACCAAAACGCCATTTTGTTTAAGGAGCTGACCTGCTCCACTGAAAACACCCTTGAGAAAACACAAAAAAGTGTAAAAACAAAATTGTTTTATGATTGTTTGCAAGAGTCTCAGATACTGAAGCAATAAAATTTAGGATCTTGGGTTGTTTCGATTTAATATATTTACCTGTGCAGTTTTGAAGGAGCTGTACTGTAATACATTAATGGCAATTATAACATCACAGGAGCCGCAAGAAAGGTTGGCCCATTTCTCCCAAGGTTCACTGGCGTCCAAGAAGATGGGCTGCAGCACAGTTTTTGCTTGGGTTGCATCGATATACGCCTTTATACTGTAAACAAGGTGAGCACATGCGTTCATCACAGCTGTTTTTATAAATATGATGTTCAGAGGACAGGGGAGTGGTTTTCAAACGCTTTCTATACAACACAAACCTGTCCTGGTATTCCTCTTTGATATCTGACGGCTGCCAAGTAACAAAAGGGATCTTCTGGGCAAACCGTGTGACGTGCTGTCCGGTTCCAGAGCCGAGCTCCAAGGCAAACAGCTGCCGGTGGGACTGGTCCTCCAGGACGTCTTCAAGCACTGAACAAAGACTCTCCCAGTTTCTCTCTGCTTTAGGAGACAGCAGCATGGTCTGGAGGAAGGAGAGATCACATCATGAGTTATTAAACGATGATCCACCATGTATTAACCATCTTACCGTCTCGAGTCGAGTCACAGCTACTGAGGAGGTGGCATGTTGGTGTAGCGGGGCTGTGGTGGATGCCTGTAACAGCAGATGGGTGCACAGATTACCTGGTTAAGAGGATTCCCATTGAGCTCCAGCCCAGTGCAGTAAGTGTGAAACACAAACACAGAGAATAAAACTGTGTAATAGTAAAGTTTCAGATGTGTTTTTGGGAAACGATTTAATAAAATGCAACAAAAACCCAGCAGAGGTAGTCATGTGTTGGTTGTAAATAAGCTGGCTGGTTTATAAAAGTTTATGTTAATGATAGCCAGATAATAGACCTTCTTTATTATCATTACACCTAAATACAACAAAATTTGGGTTTGCTTATTGCACTTACTCAGAGTCAGAGCTGCCTCCTTCACAATAATCTGTCTAAAGATATCTAGTGTTGCAGGTATTGTCCTGATGCATGCTCAATAATCCAGGTAGAAAAATCTAACAATGTTCAGTCAGGTCCTCTGGATGGATTCTTTCTGTCATTGTTTCCTGTTCTTCTCTAACCCAGCCGGTCGAAGCAGATGGCCGCTTGTCCTGAGCCTGGTTCTGAAAGGTTTCTTTCTCATGAGGGAGTTTTTCCTTTCCACTGTCGCCTTCGTGCTTGCTCAAGATGAGAGTTCTGCAATGAGTTAAATTCAAAGCAGTCGGCTCCTCAGATAAATAATGTGAAATTATTATTTTTATATATGAATGTTTCTGTTCAGTGCCCACAGATGACTTCTGTTGTGACTTGGCGCTATATAAATAAATGAACTGTACTGATATCCAGATTACCTGATTTTGTTAGTTTCAAAAAAACAAAGTTCATGCTCAATAATCTAGGTACTGAAATTGTTAATTTCATGTATTCTACATACATGCATGCATGCTAATTATGTATAAAAATTGCTACGAGCTGAACCAAAAGATCTGAATAATGTAAAAGAACATAAATCGCTATTAGAAAAAGGCGCAGCGCAGTTTTTTGTTAACAGTCCCCCGTGGGCTTCCGTAGCATTTCTGAAAGTGCGATGCATTGTGGGTAGGTCAGCAGCAGAGGGGACGCCATGTGCCATTGAGGCTGGGAGACTGGAAGCGGGTGTGATTGTGATAAACCAGATTGATTTGTAGTGGGACAGTGGGTTCGCAGCTCCGGATAACTTCAGCATGTACTGCGCCAGACGCTGCCTCCGAACCGCGCTGCGGGCCGCCGCGCGCACACACCGGTACGTAACGAGCAACAACAGTCGGTACCGAAACCCCGGAACCACCGTTCATTTCTGTCTTCGTCTTCAAGGGCAGCCGGCGACTGCTGCAGCTTACTTTGGACGCAGAACGTTGTATTTTCTCCCAAACTCGTTAAAATCCGGAACATGTTATTTAGCTGTAGCTCTGAGGGGTTTTCCGTGTTTGAAGCTAAATCCAGTTAGCCGACAAGTAACGGTAGCTTTGATCAAATGTGCAGACACGTGAAAGACTAATTTTATCTTTACAACCAGGTTATTTCCAATGATTTTTTTGCACTGGCATTTTTTAAAGCTAAAAAGTGCTCTTCGATATGTTATATGAGACCTCTTGTTTGATTTGTGTCTGGGCAATGTTTGCAGATGACATTGCAATTTGGTGAGAACAGGGAATAGGTGGAAGAGAACTTGGAGAGGTGGAGGTATGCACTTGAAAGAAGAGGAATGAAAGTCAACTGTAGTAAGACAAGAGTACATGTGTGTGAATGAAAGGGAGGCAGGTGGAACAGTGAGACTACAAGGAGCAGAGGTCACAAAGGTGCAGGACTTCAAGTACTTAGGGTGGACTGTTCAGGAAAATGTGGAGTGTGATAGAGGTGAAAAAGAGAGTCCAGGCAGAAAGGAGTGGATGGAAAAAAGTTTCCGAAGTGATTTGTGACAAAAGAAAAATTTACAAGACAGTTGTGAGACCAGCTGTGTATGGTCTGAAGAGGGAGACATGGACAAAACGACAGGAGACAGAACTGGAAGTGGCAGAAATGAAGATGTTGAGGTTCTCCTTAGGAGTGACAAGGATGGATAAGATTAGGAATGAGATCATCAGAGGTACAGCACTGGTTGAACAACTGGGAGATAAAGTTAGAGAGGCCAGACTGAGATGGTTTGGACATGTCCAGAGGAGGGACAGTGGGTATACTGGTAGAAGGATGTTAGAAATGCAGCTGCCAGTGAAAGAGAAAGGAGATAAATGGATGCAGTTAGAGAGGACATGGAGATAGATGGAGTGAGGACAGAGGATGCAGAGGACAGAGTGAGATGGAGGAGGATGACTCGTTGAGGGAAAAGCCTAAATAAAAAGGAGACTATAGTTTAAAAAAAAAGTTTAGCAGATTTTAATATATATCATTTGGGAAAAAGAGAACCATCAAGTCTACATGTAACCACAAAGGAATAGTAAAGTTAAACATGTTAAGATTATGTCATTGTAGGTCACAATAGTATTACAAACAAGTGGGAGAACAAGGTTTATGTGAGTCAGACTGTTCTTTGGTTTGCAAAGTAAAATAAGCCCCAAAATAGAAATATTCAGATACCAGACATGAATTGTGTCAAGATCCATGTTTCATCAATTATATCGGTGACCTGCGTGTCCCGTCCTCAAACGATGACCAGATGCATTAGTTTAATGAACCCATTTTCAATTTTTCAGGCAGCAGCTTCAGCAGCAGACTCCGGCCGTGTGTGCGCTCCGTCTTCTGCAGAGCAGCGCAGCCAGCCGGTCAGACGCCATCGCCACACCTCCATTAGATGAAGAACCCAAAATATATTCTCAGAAAATCCAGCAGCTCGTCAGCGACATAGCCAGCCTCACCTTATTAGAGGTGTCGGACCTCAATGAACTCCTCAAGGTTTGGGAATGACGCTGAACATATGATGATACAATTTATGGTTAAGGTTTGTGCTCATTGTGTCAAAGGGTAATCCTCTTTTTCCTCATTCACAGAAAACTTTGAACATTAAGGACATTGGAATGATGCCGATGGCTGGAGCTGCTGTCCCTGCAGCTCAGGTATAAATGACATCACTGGCTACTTTAAAAAAAAAAGTCACAAGGACAGAAAAATAATGTGCTGCAATACTTCAAATCTATAACTCTAGAAAACAGCAAGCTCTTATCTTGGCTGACAGGAATCTACGGTGTCTTCAGTTACTGTATTTTTTTTTATTTATTTCTTGCAAACCAAGGCCCCAGAAGAGGAGGATGAGGCGCCAGTTAAAAAGGAGCAGACCCACTTCTTTGTAAAGCTGGTACAAATGAAGACGGAAGATAAAGTAAAGCTTATAAAGGAAGTAAAGAACTGCATCCACGGCTTAAATCTGGTGCAGGTAAGTGTCGACTTTACAGCCGTTTGAAGGCATCGCGTCTTTTTAATAATCCAGCCCCATCTTAACTGGTCAGCTTTGTTTAAATGAGCAATCATGTTTTTGCAATGCGTTAGTCATAAAATTAGTCCTTTTGATCTAAAACGTTTGCTTATTACTTTCAATGTGTCAAACGTCTGCACATAAAACATCTTCCGTATTTTTCGGACTATAAGGCGCACCAGATTATGAGGCGCATTATGCAAAATAAGTTCATTTTGACAGATTTTTGAGCGACGCGTACCACATAAAATCATTTCGAGGAGGTCAGTAAGCACAACCAGAATACATAAGGCGCACTGTCGATCAAGGATTTTAGGTGCGCCTTATAGTCCGAAAAATACGGTATATTGACAGATCTGCATTAACAAGATTATTATACACAAAGATATTCCAGATGCTTTGCTATACATGTATTATTAGAGAAAATACTTACATTTGGGCTAACATTTATGGTTGTAAGTCCAAATTGTTGTACCGCTTCCGCCATCTTTTACAAAAAGAACTGGGGTAATGGGACCCTTTGTGTTATCGCACATAATAGAGCTAAGTGGTAAGGGCAGGGGCTAAAATGGGATTAGTTGTGTCTATAAAAAGTCTGTGAGCACATCATTGTAAGCAGTGTTGCAGATTTGCATTGCCGCACTGTTTTGATAGTTTCACTACACCTTGTGTTTTCTCCTTTCCCCCTTTTGATCAGGCGAAGAAACTAGTGGAGTCTCTTCCTCAGGAAATCCGGGCTAACGTGCCCAAGGAAGAAGCAGAGAAACTCAAAGCCGCCCTGGAAGCAGCGGGCGGCACTGTGGTGTTGGAGTAGATCTGTATTCTGCTACACTGTTGGTCATGCTCTTTGTTCTTCATATTATTGTTTTCTTTTTATATAAAACCATGAAGAGAAAAGGATCCTAAGAAATAAAGGAAACAAAGAAAAGCCTTTTTTTTTGTTTATTAACATCTTTAAGCAGTGTCGGATGCGGTGGTCTATCTTCAGACTTGAACTTTCCAGATGAATGACCGCTGCTCTGTTTGCCCGTGTGCTCATCTGTCTTCGTGCAGCAAACAAGCTGCAGGTAAATGGGCCTGTGTTGGAGTTCGTCCGCTGTTAATTCTGAGGGGGTTGAACTTTTCACCAAAGGAAAGTTTCAGCTGTATGATCGTGATTACAGATGTTGAAGAACACCACATGTTGTATTTCGTTCAGCGGAGTCCTTTTACCCCTTATAGAATTGTTAATACAATAAAGTTAAAATGTCCTGACCTTCCTTTATGTAGTGTTTTATGTTTGATTTTAGTTAAAACCACAAGTTGTATAAAATAAAATTGTTGCTTGAAAAAAAAAAAAAAAGATAAGAAATCTTTACGTTTAGAATATATCCTTTAGATTATACATTAGTGCACAGCTGCTGGAATATTCAAATAAGTGAAGCTCATCGATTTCATGTAAATATGAGCTATTACTACGGTGGCCGACAGGTGCAAACAGCTAAATGCGCAACGAACCCATGAATGATGAAAACACCTAAATGAATGCAGCAGAAAGATAATCTGCATTTTAAAAATAATAACTCAAAACGGAAGTGCACCAGACCAGTAATGTCTTGACGGGTTCTGGTCCCATATGACTTGGGGGTCGAGTCCCCGGACTACTGGTCTGCTGCTCTTTGGTTCGTTTCTTGTATCTGTTTTGGTATTTGCAGCAGTTGTTTTTCTTTGCATTTGTTTTACTGCTTGTATATATTTTTTTCTTCCTTCTATTTCCTGTAATTGCACAATTTTTCTTTTGCAGCGTTTTTTCTATTTCATTTCTTTGTTTTGGAGTTTGCACCTGCCGGCCACCGTAGTTCAAACTTGCTTATCGCAATTTCACGCATTTAGACTTTTCTGATTGAAATCTAATCAAGATTTTCAATCTCTTTAAACAGCTTTTTTTTTTTCTGAGAAACTATTTAAAAAAAGATGTTAATTTGGCTGCTGATTTATAATGAAGCAGTTAAAAGATATCACCTAAAGTTAATTATTCTTTTTATAAATTTAAGATGCACCCAAGTGAGCGCAACAAACATGTTGATTTATTTTTTTAAGGCAGAGACGGAGTCCAATAAATAATACAAATTTTATTTATATATTTTATTTATATATTTTATTATTATTTTAACTGCGCTATTAATTCAGCCTTTGTTTAGTGTTCCCCATGCTGCCACCAGGTGGCGCATGTGGTCTACATTTAAGACAAAACGAAGCCGAGCTGTTACGTTAAAATTTGTGGTTCTCTAAATAAATTCATTTGTTTATTTAGTTATTTTGGTGCAACATAGAGTCGTGCACATTAATAAAGCATTACACAGTTTATATGAATAAGCACGATGGCTCAGTGGTTAGCACTGTTGCCTCACAGCAAGAAGGTCCTGGGTTCTTTCTGTGTGGAGTTTGCATGTTCTTCTCATGCTTGCGTGGGTTTTCTCCGGGTACTCTGGTTTCTTCCCACAGATCAAAAACATGCATGTCAGGCTGCCTTCAGGCCCAGGCCTCTTGTGCAAAAGAGATCTGTGAACTCAATGGGATTTGCCTGGTTAAATAAAGGTTAATAAAAATCCTGAAACATCTCATAAGCAAAATTAAAAGGAAGATAGATTTGGAAATAGATATAACGCAACTTAGATTACAGTACTGTATCTCTACATGAAAAATTGGCTGTTAAAACAAACAAAAGTTATGTTTAAATGTAGTCATTGTATGTACTGTAATAAAAAAAAAAAACAAATGCTGAATTATATCAAATGATGCCGTTTGAATGAGTTTACTCCAGTACTTTTCCAGATAGATCAAATGTAATGTTCTTAAATGTGGGTATGCAGTCAATGTAAACAAAACATTTGGCTGAAAACGATGAGTCACATGAGTGACCTTCATTAAGCTGGCTGTACTTACACAAATATGGCTGATAAGTTTAACGCTTTACCTTCAGCTGTTTCCGTAGTAAACAAATGTGACAACTGGCAATTGTTCACAAATTTTGCATTATGGATGCATTAACCATCGATATGAAAAAAAAAACAATTGTTTCTTCATTCATTTCTTTACAAGGTCTTCATGACTTTGCAGTTTAATGCATCTATATTAAAAAAAAGGCATTGCAAATTCATCTTTAAATAAGATTTTAAAGAGCGTAAATTTAAACTAAAAAGAAAGTGCTTAAAATAATTGAAAACAGTTTAAATAAACCATTCAGGATGTTACTAATGAGGAGGAAGGTGCTTCAAGAAGAGGAACACCAGAGGGGCTGTGGGTAGAAATAAAACAGTCAGTTTAATTTCATGTCTTTTTCCCACACAGTTTAACCAGTATATGATGGTAAAACACAGGCGTTTTAATAAAAAGTACCAGTACATTATTCAGATTAGTCCCAGTAAGTGAATTCATTTACATCTTTAGTTTGGTTTGGCTTCACCTGGTGTGACAGACGGAGGCTTGCAGCAACATGTCGTGTCTCTGGGCCTCAACTAAATGCTAAATAAGTGAACAGAAGCAGAAATTAAACTCGGGAAGACAAGTATCTCAGACGACATCGAAACTTTTCAAAGAAACGCGTATCACAGTCATTCAGTCGCCCCGAGGAAACAGTCCTGGTGAGAGTCACAGAAAATTGTTGTGGAAGAAGAAGCGCCAGCTCCCTGCTGTGATGGTGATGATGGTTTCACACTGATTTGTAGCATCTCAAGATGTTCCCGGATCACCGGAGCAGCAAGAAGCCATTACATTTGACAACAAATACTATACATGAATGTAAAATCTGCGCTCCGTTTTACTCCAGTCACACATTTGGCGTTTCTTCCATGCTGTTGGCCACAGTTTTAGCCAAGAGTCTTGATAAAGTGGGTGTAGTTCATTAAAAAAGGCTGAAATCTACAGGACAGAAAGTGAATTCTGATATCTTCGAGTGGCAGTCTGTTGATCCTACATATCTGAAGCGAATGCTCACATCTTGGTTTGCTCGGACTGGAGAAGGTGTCCAGTTACTATTTCTATCAGCTGTCAAGAATCCCCCTCCCTGTCAGGATAGTCCTTAGTAAGCACACTCATTGCACCACAGGCTGCCCATTCATACTTTGTTGCACCACTCATTTCACTCACGTCATGCTCAAGAACAGAAAAAAGTCACTTAACATATAAACCTTTGCAAAAAACCCATTTTAATACGACTGTCTGCGTTGTAAAATGGGCTAACCTTAATATTGAAGAACCATTTTTCCAACACAGAAACACTTTTCCAACAGATTTTCCTAACTGGATTACTGAGCATGCTTTTACTTTTGTATTTGTTCAACTTTATTCCCACAATGCTGGTTTGCTATGCTCAAAACTACAACAGCAGTCGAGCTATTTTTATAAGAGCCACATTACTCTCCCTCCCACAAACCTGCTGCTCTCCTTTTCTTGGCTCCGAAACTTTGAGTAAGGAAGGAGACCCACTCAAGTGACTGAACTCTGGCATGTGATTTTTTCTAAATGTCCAGATCAGAAATCAGATTTATGTAAAGATGAATCTACACTGATTTTGTCTGCCTGTGCTATATTTGTTATGAGCAACAAGAGCTCGTCTTTTGGAGCTTATTCCTCCTACAACATGCAGGAAAATCGCATTTCTCGCTGGTATTTTGGTGGAGTCTCTTCGAGCGCAGCTGCTTGTTTAACACACCCACTGGATTTGATTAAGGTAAGAACACAGGAATGAAAATTGTATTATTGTAACCCATTTTATTTCCCATCACATTAATAAAAATATAGATGTACATAAGCCACATTTAGACCTAAACATCTGGAAAAAGTTTTAAAAAATGTAAATGGTATTAAACTTTGTCTGCATTACATGCTATTAGGTTTTTACGGGTAATATCTTTTAAAATATATATTTAATATACGCTGGATGATCAGTAAAAGCAGGATCCAAGTCCAGAAGGCAGATTCAGTAAAAAAAACAACTGGCTTTTAATAACGTGACCATTATAAATGATGTAGAAAATTACATTAGGTGTGCTGATTACTAACAAAATACAAAGATGAGTGGAAGTACACAGAAACATGTTTACTGGTTACAAAAAATACATTTGGTGTGTAAGAAAATGACAGTCAGGTAGGCTGATTACTGACAAAATATGAGGGTATGTAAGGAGATGGTCGTGGACTTCAGAAGGAACAAACACACCTACCAGGAGGATCTGCGGTGGAAGTGGTCTCCAGCTACAAGTACTTGGGTGTGCACCTGAATGACAACCTCAGCTGGAGCAACAACACCGCAAGCCTGATCAAGAAAGCTCATCAGAGACTCTACTTCCCCAGGCGGCTGAGAGGAGCTGGTCTGGGAAGCGCAGTCCTCACCTCCTTCTACAGGTGTGCAGTGGAGAGCATCCTGTGCTCCAGCATCAACATGTGGCATGGAGGCTGCACAGCTGCAGAAAGAAAAGCTCTGCAGAGAGTGGTGAAGGCTGCACAGAAGTCTGTTGGAGTCAGTCTCCCCACCATCACAAACATCTACACCTCCAGATGCAGGAAGAGGACCACCTGCATCATGAAGGACCCCACTCACCCAGCGCACACACTTTTCGGCCTGCTCCCCTCAGGAAGGAGGTTGAGGAGCATTAAGTCTAGAACCAACAGACTGAGGAACAGCTTCTACCCTGAAGCTTTTAGACTCATGAATCTCTAACCAGAAGAATCACTGTGAAAAAAAAAAAAATCACTGTAATGCCACTTGATTGTTGATATGTGCTGCTGACTATCTATGCTGCTGATCTCAAGCTGCTGATTTATTTCATGCTGCTGTATTCATTCGTACTCATCTGCTCACACAGACTCATGTTCGTGCTGCTGTTGTTCGGTGTATTGTTTTGCACTATTAGTGTTTAGTGTATTTCTTAGTTCATATCTTAGATCATACTATTGTTTTACTTTTACAATTTATACTTTTGTTGGATGTAACTGGGACGCTGTGTACACAATTTCGTTCCACCACATGTACCACGTGAGATGCGAATGACAATAAAGAACCTTGACCTATAGATAACATTACTGTATGCATAAAACATCGAAAGCCAACCAAACATAGTTTCATGGGTTCACTTATTGTTCAATTATTGCTCAGTTGCAGCAAGCTAGCTGTAAATATATATTTATATATTCAAATCTCACCTTTCACTTGTAGGAATGGACTCTTATTTGTATTTGTTGTTTTTCATTGATAGATTCTGACACCTGTTTAAGGCTGGAACCGATTTTTTTCCTCGTGAACTAACACCTGTACAGATGTGTAGCTGCTCAGGTGTGGCTGACTCTTGGCCCGTCATTTCCAGGTGCACTTACAGACGCAGCAGGAGGTGAGGGTGAAGATGATCGGGATGACTGTGAACGTGGTGAGAACAGAAGGTTTTCTGGCTCTCTACAGTGGCCTCAGTGCTTCCCTCTGCCGCCAGGTACAAAACACAGACACGTTTCTGTTGCACCTTACCCATGCATTCATCTTTTGTCTTTTCCCCCCTCAGATGACATATTCACTGTCACGGTTTGCCATTTATGAGACCATCAGGGACAGGAGAAATAGAAAAAGCAGAAGTTTAATGCCTTTCTATCAGAAAGTCCTGCTTGGTGCATTCGGAGGTATGAAGCACAACACATCTTAACTGTGCTTGTTTGACTCAAAATGTTTATTTTGTCGTGCATTTTCTGCATCAGGGTTCATCGGAGGCTTGATCGGGACCCCTGCTGACTTGGTGAATGTCCGGTGAGTTTACATCAAATCTTAAATCTGCCATTCAAATTGAACAGCCAGAAACCAAGATAGAGATTGAGGCGATAATTCCTGCTAATGACTCGACTTTAAAGTCTTTCACTCTCCCATCATGCAGAATGCAAAACGATGTCAAGCTGCCAGCAGAGCTCAGAAGAAGGTAAGAACATGTCAAAATGGGAAAGTCTCTTGTATCTTCCATAATTACAGACAATTACACAGCTTTTCAAAAAGGCCACATTATGGGACGTTCTTTTGACTCGCAGCTACGCTCATGTGCTTGATGGACTGCTACGTGTTTGGAAGGAAGGTGAGCTAATTTGTCATTAAAGGTAAAATCCTTTCCTTTCTTTTGTTCCTTTGCAAAGAAAAAAGTAGCTAAAAATGAACAAGAAATGATTTTTTTTTTTTTTAGATATCCAAAAAGACGAGGAGTTGCAATGAAAAAACAATATAAAAAAAAAAACAGCAAAAGATAACTTTTGGTTGAAATTTGTAAAGATTTTTGTTATTATCTATATATTTGTTTTATGTTTCTAAATTAGAAGGAATGTTTAAATTATTCTCGGGAGCAACAATGGCTTCCAGTCGAGGAGCACTTGTCTCTGTTGGGCAGGTAAAGTTCTCTTTCACCTTTTCAGCCGACTCTTTTAAAACCACCACAAACAGCTGTGCATTACGTTTCTGCAGCTTTCCTGTTATGACCAGTCCAAACAGCTGGTTCTGGCTACAGGTTATTTTACTGACAACATCCTCACCCACTTTCTGGCCAGTGTGTTTGCGGTAAGGAATTTAGATTTGTCACAATAAAAAAAAAAAATATATATATATATATATATATATATGTATATATATATATATATATATATATTACAAAATAAACCTGATATTTTTTATCTTCACAGGGTGGTTGTGCTACAGTCCTGTGCCAACCACTGGATGTGGTCAAAACAAGGTTAATGAACTCAAAGCTGGAATACAGGGTGAGTTTTTATACACATTATCTCATCATTTCTTATCCTGACCCTGGTTATATTGAATGTTATGGTAATATTATGTATTTGTGTATTTTTGAACAGTTTCTTGTTGTAAGACCTGACAGACATTTGCAAACAGTCCTGGATTTATTGTGTTTTCAAATCACTGCAAAGTATTTGATTATAGATTAGAACATTCGGAAGCACTGACTCTTATTCTTTTACACTCAGATTGTCGATGAGCTCCTTCATTTAAAATGTCACCACTGCACGTCTAAAAGCCACCCTGTGTGTAAAAAAATATTCAAGCAGCCCTGTCTCAGTTTAATCAGAAGTTTTATTTTATTTACAATTTTCAGACGTGATCATGGCAACATTATGTTGCCAAGTTTCATGTTGCAGCATCATGAATAAATACCTAAATTACACCATAAATAAACCACGTCCGGTTTATTTTTGACTCATAAATTGCAGCAGATTTTTTCAAATTTGGCCTAAAAGTTTTTGAGGGAGACAAACTTGTTTGGCAGACTGATTAATTAACTAATTCCTGTTTTTTTTTTATTTTTTTTATTTTTCATCATCACTGGAATCTGTTGACGTCTGTGTTGAAGAACAAAATTACAACCTCTGAGTATTTACAGCTTATTTAGTTTAAAATAAGCTCAACCTTTGCATTCTCAGTAGACAGTTCTTTAACGTAAAGAGGAAAATAAACGTTTTATTTAAGTTGGTAACACAGAATGTAACAAACTCATGAGAGTTCATGTATTTTCAGCTGCTCCTTGACTTTAAAACTGGTTGTTAAAATCTCATTTTGCCCTAAAAACAAGGACAGTTTAGTCACGTCACGCTTCACATGTGATTATAACTTTATTTAAATGGGCTTTCTGTGAGTCTCAGTTAAGACGAGCTGAATCGATGGCTTCTCTTCTCATCGCCCTGACATGAATGTTTTATTTATTCTCTCTGGGTTAAATGATTCAGCTCGCCAAACCTCTCGTGTGTTTTGGTTCCAGAGTGTGTTTCACTGTCTGACAGAAACAGCGAAGCTCGGCCCGAAGGCTTTCTACAAGGTAAATGTCATCCTCGCTGTCCACAACACAAAGACGTGCTGTCTTGCATGTCTTCCTACGGTCATTACCACGACTCTTTAATAACGCCCTGATTCGTGTCCAGGGTCTCGTTCCTGCAGCGATTCGCCTCATCCCCCAAACCGTCTTCACTTTCATATTCCTCGAGCAGCTGAAGCAGCACTTTGGTCTGGTGGTTGTCACCTAAGACCTCGGAGGAAGGCCTCACTTGACAAGCCGTCTTCGCAGATCTGCTGTTGTTGGACAGCTTGTTCTGTTCGTAATAAGAAAATGGATTTAAAGTCAAAAGGAGGCAAATGGCATCCAAGACAAGTCCCATCAACTTCATCTGTGACACTGAATAAAAGCAACGCATGCAATGATTTTTCTAAACAAGACTCTGGAATAAAATGTTTTCTGCTTGAAAGTTTCAGATCGTCTGAATTATTAACTACAGCAGCTTTTAACCTGCCATGAACACAACAATTACACGTGCGATCTAAGGATTTGCAGGCCAAATGTGGGTTAAACTAAAAAGGAAACTGTCTCTTGAAGTTGGGTCAGTTTGTGCATGATGTCTTGTTCCTTCAGGACCTTCTCGGCCCTCTGGGGGACAGTGTTACACTCTGTCAGCCGGAGCGCAGGTTTTGGTGAGACATTCAGTCGAGGCTCCCATCATTTAGGTGCAAATCTTAACCAGTTTGGGTTAACTGGTGTAGATTAAAAGCTCCCAAATGAGAGAATGTGCTTTCACAAAGACAATTACCGTTTTTTCTGGCATATAAGTCGCAGTTTTTTGCACACATTTGTCAGTGCTGCACTTATACGCCGAAGCGACTTATATAAAAACATTTTTCTCATATTCATAACGCAATTTTTGACTGACGCTTTAAATTTCAAAGAACTTCCGTGCACGCTCGCTTCACTCAACAGGTTCAGGCAGAGGAACGCTGGAGAGCAAGTGGCTCGGGCCAAGATGGATGGATGGATGGATGGCGCCGCACCACCCAGGTGAAATGAAGCTGTTTTGACCATTAAATAAACGCATAATAAATGTGACTTATATGCCGAAGTGACTTATGTTTATTTCCTCTTCTTGATTATTTTTTTAACTGATGAGATTTATACTCTGGAGCGACTTATACGCCGGAAAATACGGTAAGAGGATTAGAGCAGACGTGGGCAATATGTGGCTGGAGGGCCCAAAATGGCCCTTAGACAACTTCTATCCGGCCCCTTTTATTCTTAATTAGAAAGTGAACAACTTTTAAATAAGTTGAAGTTTGCTTTTTATTAAAATTTAAGAAAGTCTAAATTGAACATCTTGGACAGATACATAAAAGAACCGTTGGATTGAGAAAGGTTAAAACTTTTAAGTCATCATGTTTCCAGAGCTAAACTGATCCTTAAAGACTCCAAAAAGCAAATATATGCTTTTTTTTTTTTTTTTTTTCCAGTTTTGTATATTTAAGCTAAAATAAAAAATAAACCCCCCAGAGCCAGTTTACATAAAATAAGTCTTGTAATCTTAAAGAAGATTATTGGGGAGATATATTTTTATCAAACAAGCTGACGATGCTACAACAAGAAAACTCTATAAAAAGCTTCCAGATTATCTGCCTTGAATATCTATACGTCCCTCTGATGGCTCCAATATGTCAATGTGGCCATTTGGAAATAAATTTTGCCCACCCCTGTTATTACGCTCAATCATCCAGGTAAATGAATCACAAAAAAATAGATGATGACATCTGGACAGTTAAAAGGATTATTATTATTTTAAAAAAAATTTTTTTTCAGTGTGAAGAGTTGACTTGTCGGTTTGTGGTTTTGCGTTATGTAAAACTGGTCCAGGTATTATTTACACAAGTATTTCCTCACAGCATGATGTTCAATCCATCAGCTCTAAGAAACTTTTTTTTCTCTCACGTTCTAGTTTCCTTACTGCCTGAATTGGTTTCAGTTATGAGTTCACATTTAATATAAAATAAATATATTTTCAATATACTGTCATTCAGGCCGAAGTAAACGATACAAGTGCACATAATAAAATGTGCAATATTTCCTCTAAACCAGTTCTTTTGGTAGATAAATATAAGTTCTTGGCTGTAGAAAGTCACACATTATTTATAGATAATGGTGATGTTACATAATTGGGTTAAACATGTTAAAGTAATCTTATTAGAGCCATCATCTGTGGTTGAAGCACAGCCTGACGACATACATTCGGTTGGTAATGACAGATAATGTGTCCTATAAGAGGATCTGAGTCCGACTATGTAAAAAAAATAAAATAAACGTCCTGATTTAGTCGTTTCCTCTGAACCACATGGTCGCCACACAGAGGTGAACATTATTATCTAGTATCTCATCTCTATTAAGATACAAAAATTACATTTATTCATGCACGTCCAGTCCAGACACAAATTCATCTCCTTTTTCAGTTTATTTCAAATAAATTTAAGGTGGTTAATATTTCATCACAAAGTTAAACTGTTTTTATTTTTTTGCTTACAGCATTTGCAAATATACATGTACATGTATACATATAATACATGTATACCATATATATGTATGGATGCTTAGATGTGTATGAATGTGTACATATATAGAGGTTAATCATGAGTACTCCGTACCACCTTGTGCATGTGCACAGTCTTTTTCCAAATTTGTGTATTCTGCTTCTTTTTTGGTTATTTCAAATGTTTTTTTTCTTTCTGCATAATTAGAACATGCTACTGGATGCCTCAAATTAATAGGTGTCCTGTTAAAAAATGTTCAGACTAAAACATCAGGAAGGTTTTTGTGTGACTTTTGTTTCAAGATGGAAACAGCAAGAATATTAAAGGAGCTAAAAGTTGAGTTTTCATATAGTTTTTGGATTAACTTTGTATATTTTTTCCAGAAAAATGCATATAAAGATTCTCAAATATCTTTGTAAAATAAAAAAAAATTAATAATTTAAATAAAATAAAACTTTCCAATTAACTTTTATGCTGACAATAATGCAAATGAATTAAATATTTACAATTTCCTCCTAAAATAAAGCATAAATAGTACTATACTTGCATAAATATTACTCTTTATGTTTGGGCAGTATCTGATCTGTTCATGGTAGTTCTGGATAACTTTTTCTTTAATTGCAAAAATGTGCGTCCAACACTGAAGAAGCTTCCTTTCTTTAATTTCAGGGGAATCTCTGCCGCCCTCAGAGACTGTGCAGCTTCTCTTTATGAACCTGACTTATGAACCCGCTCTCCATCTCTGCAGGATTTCTACCAGCATGAGCAGGACCGAGTACTTTCATCGCCCGGACCTCGGCTGCTCAGAGAAGGTTGTGCTGAAATGTTTAGGAGCTGCAAAACCACTTGTACCAAGTGTTTTAAACGGCCCTCATGACACCAAATGAGTGCAACAAGGAAGCCATAAATCTGAGGAATGACATCTGAAAGGGAAAACAACCAAAATTGCAGATCCCAGGGTTTTTCTTAACGGAGAAGGTTGCTGCCAGTTTTTCATTGTGTGGTGACGGAGCTGACGTCCTTGATTTGGAATGAAGAATGAGCGATGGTTTTACATTATGGAAACGTTTGTGGGCTGGAGAGTGGGAGCCAGGCTTTTCTCTGGAGGTCTGAGTGTGGATGTAAGCCTGCATGTTCCCCCTCTCTGCTCCGGTCCTGCTGCAACCCTCTGCAGCAGCCAGAGCCTTGATGTTCACATAAACAGGAGCTAGAGGCGTCATAAAATATACAAGGGTGATCATGAGTCTTGACTGACAAATCAGAACATCAAATTTATTTCACGTTTTGTTACAGAGCATGCACAAGAAAAATCAGAAATGTTTCTACTTTCCTTTTTATTCTTTGACAAAAAGAATCTGATCAGGGCCATTGTTCTACAAAAAGGAGGTGTTAAATCCTAGTTCATTTAAAAAAAAATGTTTTTTCTAACTGATATTTTTACAATTAAACAATCACAAAGTTTCTTAAGAGCATCTATCTTGATTTTAACAAATAAATAATTTAAAATCCAAGATTTTGGATTAATTAACGGCCTTGAACTGACACTGAACTATGGAAAACTTGAAGCTCGTCACAAAAATATCAGCTTTTTTTTCCTGTTTGTTTTAGATATTCCTATAAAACTTTGAGTAAATGTTGTTTAAGGATTATGTGATCTCAGTGAGTGGTTAGGATAAACAATTGTTAATTTTAAATAACAATTAATAACTTGTATTCAGTCAAAAGATTGAGTTTGTCACTGCAACAAATACCATGAATGCATATGATGATTTATCAAATCCGATGATGTTTTTATGTTTTTTTTTTTCATTTTGTTTAATTTGTAATGTGAGCTGTCAGTTTAGTTTTCTTGTTTAAGAATTTCATTTGAACCTGAAATAAAATCAACTGTGATTTGGTCAGGCCAAAATTTAATTTAGCAGATGTCTCACAAACCAGAAGTAAACAAAAATTGATGAACAGACTTCTTTTTTATTTTATTTTTTTATATAATCAAAATTCTTAAATTTCAGTTCATGATAAAAAGTGATTTTTGTATCTCAGTGGGCTCTTGAACCAAATTTTGAGAACCACCAGTCTGCAGAAAACACCTCTGCAGTCTGACAACCAAACCAATCTACTGTTGAATTACTGCAATAAACTGTATGCAGAATATGAAAAATATACAGTAAATAATAATAATGTAGAGTCAGTTCAGAAAATATGAGGCTTCAAAATCAAACGTGAACAAATCAGTGTTTATTTAATAAGGTTCTATGGGTAGCCCTATAGGAGCATATATATATATATTTTATTTTTATTTTTTTTCTAAATAATTATGGCACCATAAAAGAAAATAAACAAAAAATATACTTTTTTTTCCCAGCATATAAGTTGCATCATTCAAAAAAAGCATCAAGAGGAAAAAAACATATAAGTTGCTTCAGCGTATAAGTCGCATTTATTATGTCACTGCTGACCCGTCACGTTTATTATGCATTTGTTTAATGGTCAAAGCAGCTTCATGTTGCCTGGGTGGCGTGCCGTCCATCCATCCATCCATCCATCCATCCATCCATCCATCCATCCATCCATCCATCCATCCATCCATCCATCCATCCATCCATCCATCCATCCATCCATCCATCCATCCATCAATCCACCCACCCACCCACCCATCCATCCATCCATCCATCCATCCATCCAT